AATGACAGATACCATCGTTCAATTTCCGTTCATCAAAGCACGGCATGATTAATCCTAATTTTAATTGCATCATGGTCCGACAGAAGCTCTGTATCTGGGGATGCGATCTCGGAAGAGGGAGGGGAGTAGTTCCATTTCTTCTGCGCTATCAAAGGGTATATTTCTCTTTAGGCGGATGAGCGATATTACAAGTCTCGGAATACTCTTTTATCAATGCTGGCGAAGACTCTATGAGGGAGATGATGAATGTCCTTTTCATGATGATCGCCTGAGTACAATTTAATTTTCTATTTGAACGCATGTGCATAGATAGCTATTATTTGAGACAAATAGGTTTTTTATTCGTTGAATGTGATTTACTTGAGAGGACCTTTTACAGAGTCGATGTGTAAAAGGTTTATTAACCCGTGTAGATCCGGGTTAGAATTGGTCTTCATGCTTGTTGTAAGAGGCGACTAACGCGATTGGGAGGTCAGGCTCACTGACTTGGTTGATGCATGTCATTGTATCCCAGTTGCGTCGATCGATGCTCTTGATATCAATCACTGGATTGTCTGGTGCAGACTCGATTATATACAGACCGCCGTCACATAGCTGAAATATTGCTTAGTGCGACGTTAAACAAACAAACAAGACCAAGTTTATTGTTTTGCGAATGCGTGAGCGTGTTTGGATTTCCGCAACCTCTAGCCGTATTTCAGCAATATCTCGAAGCTAAGAATCTACTTCACAGATTGCGGACATGTAGAACAAAACTAAGGACACCTTGCAGTGTTTCATGAAGAAGCGTAACAAAGCACAACCTATTCTTGCAATTGGATCTTATTTCCTTACCTAGCATTTGTCTTAATACTAAGAACATGTCTACCTTAAAGTATGGAGTTACGATCGTCTTAATACTAAGATAACTCTGTAGAACAAGTCTACCTTAAAGTATGGAGAACAAGTCTACCTCAAAGTATGGAGTTACGATCGTCTTAATACTAAGATCGCTTTGTAGAAAAGGTCTCCCTCAAAGTATGGAGTTACGATCGTCTTAATAATAAAATCACTCTGTTGAACAAGTCTACCTCAAAGTATAGTTACGATTGTCTTAATACTAAGATCACTCTGTAGAACAAGTCTACCTAAACGTATGGAGTTACGATCGTCTTAAGGCTAAGATCGTTTAATTTAAGAACACGGGACTGTCCGTTTTTCTCAAACGTTCATCCAAGATCCATATTGTGACACATTCGTCAAACCAAAAGAATCCATCGCATGACCTATTCCTCATATACCTCCTTATTGCCAATTAAGTGTTCCTCATACAAAAAATCCCTATTGCGATATATATTTATGCAAGAAATCCCTATTGCGATATATATTTATACAAGAAATCCTTAATGCGACATATTTCTCACGCAAGAACTCCTTGTGACATATTTTTCGAACTAAGATCTATATTGCAGTATATTCCTCAAACAAGAAATCCTTATTCTCACATATTCCTCAAAACAAGAAATCCTTATTCTTATATATTCCTCAAAACAAGAATTCCTATTTGCGACATACTTCTCAAACAAGAAATCCTTATTCTCACATATTCTTCAAAACATGAAATCCCTATAGCGACATACGTCTCAAGCAAAAAATCCTTGTTGCGACATATTCCTGAAATACGGAAGTTTATTGCCACATGTCTTCAAGAATAGAATACAGCTATAACTTAATATCAACAGGTGTGTGCCAACAATGGTAAACAAACGGAAATACTTGGATTAAGTCTGCTTGTCAGGACGCCCAAATACGAAACTTAATTTAGATAAACATGCGAAACGATGACGAGGGTCGAAACTGGACGATCTCATATGACGTTATCAAGTTATAGGAGACCTGTACTAAATAATGTACCGCTAACGTAGGATGAGTGATGAAGTGGTTACATGAAGCCATGAACAGCAGCTAGAGCCCCGTCGGGGTGACGGGGGGTCCGGCTTCGCAATCCTTGTAAACCGTTTAAAGAATCAGGGCCATGTTTTTGTAACACCTTGTAAATGGTTGGTTAATGTTGTATTTTAGGATAATAGATTTCGAAATTAGGTTTAAATTCGGATATTGAGTTCAGTTTGGTTAAATAATACTATGCTATCATGCATATGCTAAACATTATAAAGGGCTATAAAGAGAATACTGTGTTACTATTTTTTCTGGTGTTTGTTGTGTTTCATGATTAATGATTATATTAGATCATCATTAGGAGAGAACAACTGACTTACTAGTCATGTGATAGTTTTAAAAACATGGGTAGGGTCACACATTGGCATTGAAGCAAATATTCTGTAATTAACATGTTATTTTCAAGAATACACATACTCATAGTTGACATCACCGTCCAACAACCAACTGCCATATCCCCACCCCCCTTACCACCGTCCAACAACCAACCGCCATATCCCCCTCCCCCCTTACCACCGTCCAACAACGTCACCAATGTCCAACAACCAACCGCCATATCCCCCTCCCCCCTTACCACCGTCCAACAACCAACTGCCATATCCCCCTCCCCCTTACCACCGTCCAACAACCTCACCAATGCCCACAACCAACCGCCATATCCCCCCCCCCCCTTACCACCGTCCAACAACCAACCGCCATACCCCCCCCCCCTTACCACCGTCCAACAACCAACCGCCATATCCCCCCCCCTTACCACCGTCCAACAACCAACCGCCATACCCCCCCCCTTACCATCGTCCAACAACCAACCGCCATACCCCTCTCCCCCACCACCACCCCCACACAACTACTCCCCCTTCCCTCTTTCCCCTTGTCCATTATCAAACCATACATGACACAAATACGTTGCGTTACATGGTATATACGTAATCTAATAACAACAATTGCACCCATCAATAATGGCGAAGCTAAATGGTAGTTTAGATTAATTTACAATAGCTGGATAATGAAATTACGCAGTCAATGTTCTGTCGAGCACGTTACGCCACTGTGCCGCTGTTTGTTACACACTGCAACAGAAGCATAGCATCCCCAGCAAGCTGCCCTTAGCAGCCAGACGTCATCACAGTGCTTGGCCTACTCCTGGCAACCAGACGCCATCACAGTACTTGGTCTAATCCTGGCAAACAGACGCCATCACAGTACTTGGTCAACCCCCGGCAGCCAGACGCCATCACAGCACTTGGTCTATCCCCGACAACCAGACGCCATCACAGTACTTGGTCTACTCCTGGCAACCTGACGCCATCACAGTACTTGGTCAACCCCCGGCAACCAGACGCCATCACAGCACTTGGTCTAATCCTGGCAAACAGACGCCATCACAGTACTTGGTCTAATCCTGGCAAACAGACGCAATCACAGTACTTGGTCAACCCCGACAACCAGACACCGTCAGATACTTGAGTGAGTGTAGTGAGGCCCAGAGTGAAAGGAGATAACAAACGGTAAATCAAAGCGACAAAACCCTTTCCATGCTCAAAAGAAATCTCTGCCAAAGGCATAGTCGAATGTACAATTCCGACCATATCATGAGTATGCGTGTATGAATCACCATGTGATCATAACAGGTGTTCGCGAAGAGGTGAGCGTATCCTGCCCCATTGGTGGCACCCGTCACATACACATGCAAAGGCAAGTCGATTTTTCACCTTTGAAATACATGGTAACATATGCTACAAATCAAAAGAGGGAATTGCTTCGGGCATCATTTTTGTCAGTTTGGAAATGTCCTCCGCATGTCTACCCCAAAACTTTGTGACAGCTTCACTGAGGCCTTGAATGTTATAACCTTGATTACATTACTTTGAAATGACGCTCTTTGAAATCTCCGAAGAAAGAGCATGTTCGATTGTACCTCAGAGGTTGTCAAATGTAGACACTACAGGCTGGGGCTGCTGGACTATTTCTCCACATGAAGGTAAAGTTGACTATTGGAAAGTCATCCCCCTTCTCGTGCAGTCTTGTGGAAAGCGTTTCGTCACTCATCTTCCCGAGACAAGCGAGTTAACTGACTATAAAAGTCCAGTTTCCACCCTTGCCGAACTAGGCTGGTATTATGGAGTTACATTTTGGCTGGACTAACGAGTCTATGCATAGTCCAATCAAAATCGCGCACCGAAATCGAAATCCGGTTCGTAAAGTGTCATGCAGATTTCGGTCGACTGCAGGATTTGCAAAGCATGTGCACCGCTAACTCGTTGTCAACAGATATTTTCTGAATCTTTTCCTGTTTTTAATCAAGGTGCTCACGTGATTTGATGCACTTCGCGATGTAAGACTCGTTTTATCAGAATATAGATCTTGATTATCGATCAGATCGTCTTGACTGGGCGCCACCGTTTTGTTTGAAGCAAATGCAAGTGATACGAGAGGTTGAATCTGATTGGTCAATAGGAGAGGCATAGCAAGGACATAACTCGTAATAGCCACTGGTGGCTCTACGATCGAGCCCAGGAATTCCAGCCTAGTTCGGCAAGGGTGGAAACTGTACTTTTAAAGTCAGTTCACTCTCTTGCCTCGGGAAGATGTTCGCCACTCTGAATCCCTGAATATGGCCCTACTCTGCACGATCAGGGTCTTTAATAGTCCCCAAGCGCAAAGAACCTATTCCAGATTTAACACATTATTAAAGATAACTTCGAAATGGCTTTTTCATTTTTTGAAGTATAATGTCTGACAAGTATATTTCTGTAACAGACAAGATGTGTAATATCGGTATAACGTTGCCACTTCAATTATATATGTTACCGACATTATCAAGAAGGGGCGGTGATGTGGAATGTTTTCATAGGGTTTTTTTCTGGTTCAGTATTCTTAATATGTATATAGATTGCCGTTTAACTGAAGATGATGGATGAAGATTGACTTAACTAAATCAGATTTATTCAATACATAAAAAACAACGGGGATATTGTTTATTGCCTTGATAAGTAGTTTCCGTTCAGCTGCTTCTTCTCGAAGATTCGAATGAGGCAGCTTGGTTGGTCTGGACACAAACATCACAACGGCTTAGGGTTAGAGTAAGGGCCGTTAGAGTTAGAGCTAGAGTAAGGGCCGTTAGAGTTAGAGTTAGAGTAAGGGCCGTTGGAGTTAGAGTTAGAGTAAGGGCCGTTAGAGTTAGGGTTAGAGCTAGAGTAAGGGCCGTTAGAGTTAGAGTTAGAGTAAGGGCCGTTAGGCTTAGGGTTAGAGTAAGGGCCGTCAGAGTTAGAGTAAGAGTTAGAGTAGGGGCCGTTAGAGTTAGAGTAAGAGTTAGAGTAAGGGCCGTTAGAGTTAGAGTTAGAGTTAGAGTAAGGGCCGTTAGAGTTAGAGTTAGAGTTAGAGTAAGGGCCGTTAGAGTTAGAGTAAGAGTTAGAGTAAGGGCCGTTAGAGTTAGAGTAAGAGTTAGAGTAAGGGCCGTTAGAGTTAGAGTTAGAGTTAGAGTAAGGGCCGTTAGAATTAGAGCTAGAGTAAGGGCCGTTAGAGTTAGAGCTAGAGTAAGGGCCGTTATGGTTAGGGTTAGAGTAACGGCCGTTAGAGTTAGAGCTAGAGTAAGGGCCGTTAGAGTTAGGGTTAAAGTAAGGGCCGTTAGAGTTAGAGCTAGAGTAAGGGCCGTTATGGTTAGGGTTAGAGTAAGGGCCGTTAGGGTTAGAGTAAGGGCCGTCAGAGTTAGAGTAAGAGTTAGAGTAAGGGCCGTTAGGGTTAGAGTTAGAGTTAGAGTAAGGGCCGTTAGAGTTAGAACTGAAGATGATGGATGAAGATTGACTTAACTAAATCAGATTTATTCAATACATAAAAAACAACGGGGATATTGTTTATTGTCTTGATAAGTAGTTTCCGTTCAGCTGCTTCTTCTCGAAGATTCGAATGAGGCAGCTTGGTTGGGCTGGACACAAACATCACAACGGCTTAGGGTTAGAGTAAGGGCCGTTAGAGTTAGAGCTAGAGTAAGGGCCGTTAGAGTTAGAGTTAGAGTAAGGGCCGTTGGAGTTAGAGTTAGAGTAAGGGCCGTTAGAGTTAGAGTTAGAGTAAGGGCCGTTAGGGTTAGAGTTAGAGTAAGGGCCGTTAGAGTTAGAGTTAGAGTAAGGGCCGTTAGGGTTAGAGTTAGAGTAAGGGCCGTTAGAGTTAGAGTTAGAGTAAGGGCCGTTAGGGTTAGGGTTAGAGTAAGGGCCGTTAGGGTTAGAGTTAGAGTAAGGGCCGTTAGAGTTAGAGTTAGAGTAAGGGCCGTTAGGGTTAGAGTTAGAGTAAGGGCCGTTAGAGTTAGAGTTAGAGTAAGGGCCGTTAGGGTTAGAGTTAGAGTAAGGGCCGTTAGGGTTAGAGTTAGAGTAAGGGCCGTTAGAGTTAGAGTTAGAGTAAGGGCCGTTAGGGTTAGAGTTAGAGTAAGGGCCGTTAGAGTTAGAGTTAGAGTAAGGGCCGTTAGGGTTAGGGTTAGAGTAAGGGCCGTTAGAGTTAGAGCTAGAGTAAGGGCCGTTAGAGTTAGAGTTAGAGTAAGGGCCGTTAGGGTTAGGGTTAGAGTAACGGCCGTTAGAGTTAGAGTTAGAGTAAGGGCCGTTAGGGTTAGAGTTAGAGCTAGAGTAAGGGCCGTTAGAGTTAGAGTTAGAGTAAGGGCCGTTAGAGTTAGAGTTAGAGTAAGGGCCGTTGGAGTTAGAGTTAGAGTAAGGGCCGTTAGAGTTAGAGTTAGAGTAAGGGCCGTTAGGGTTAGAGTTAGAGCTAGAGTAAGGGCCGTTAGAGTTAGAGTTAGAGTAAGGGCCGTTAGGTTTAGGGTTAGAGTAAGGGCCGTCAGAGTTAGAGTAAGAGTTAGAGTAAGGGCCGTTAGGGTTAGAGTTAGAGTTAGAGTAAGGGCCGTTAGAGTTAGAGTAAGAGTTAGAGTAAGGGCCGTTAGAGTTAGAGTTAGAGTTAGAGTAAGGGCCGTTAGAGTTAGAGCTAGAGTAAGGGCCGTTAGGGTTAGAGCTAGAGTAAGGGCCGTTAGGGTTAGGGTTAGAGTAACGGCCGTTAGAGTTAGAGCTAGAGTAAGGGCCGTTAGAGTTAGGGTTAAAGTAAGGGCCGTTAGAGTTAGAGCTAGAGTAAGGGCCGTTATGGTTAGGGTTAGAGTAAGGGCCGTTAGGGTTAGAGTAAGGGCCGTTAGAGTTAGGGTTAGAGTAAGGGCCGTTAGGGTTAGAGTAAGGGCCGTTAGGGTTAGGGTTAGAGTAAGGGCCGTTAGGGTTAGGGTTAGAGTAAGGGCCGTTAGAGTTAGAGTTAGAGTAAGGGCCGTTAGGGTTAGAGTTAGAGTAAGGGCCGTTAGAGTTAGAGTTAGAGTAAGGGCCGTTAGAGTTAGAGTTAGAGTAAGGGCCGTTAGAGTTAGAGTTAGAGTAAGGGCCGTTAGAGTTAGAGTTAGAGTAAGGGCCGTTAGAGTTAGAGTTAGAGTAAGGGCCGTTAGAGTTAGAGTTAGAGTAAGGGCCGTTAGAGTTAGAGTTAGAGTAAGGGCCGTTAGAGTTAGAGTTAGAGTAAGGGCCGTTAGGGTTAGAGCTAGAGTAAGGGCCGTTAGAGTTAGGGTTAAAGTAAGGGCCGTTAGAGTTAGAGCTAGAGTAAGGGCCGTTATGGTTAGGGTTAGAGTAAGGGCCGTTAGGGTTAGAGTAAGGGCCGTTAGAGTTAGGGTTAGAGTAAGGGCCGTTAGGGTTAGAGTAAGGGCCGTTAGGGTTAGGGTTAGAGTAAGGGCCGTTAGGGTTAGAGTTAGAGTAAGGGCCGTTAGAGTTAGGGTTAGAGTAAGGGCCGTTAGAGTTAGGGTTAGAGTAAGGGCCGTTAGGGTTAGAGTAAGGGCCGTTAGAGTTAAAGCTAGAGTAAGGGCCGTTAGAGTTAGGGTTAGAGTAAGGGCCGTTAGGGTTAGAGCTAGAGTAAGGGCCGTTAGGGTTAGAGTAAGGGCCGTTAGAGTTAGAGCTAGAGTAAGGGCCGTTAGGGTTAGAGCTAGAGTAAGGGCCGTTAGGGTTAGAATTTGATATTTCGTCATCAAGTAGAAAGCAGAAAAGCCAGAAGACATCAAAGAAAAACAACATCTCGAAGAGGCGTTTCATTTGATTCGGACAGCGACGAAGATGAAGTATGCTTATAGCCATATAGCACCCACTTACTCCTGTATTTAGCAACATGCAGTGAGTGGTCCAGACTCGATTATTTACAGGCCGTCGTCAAAAGTTGGAATATTGCTGAATGCAGCGTTAACAAACACACACTCCATACCTGATAAAATTATACTGCATTGTATCTAACAGAAAATAATGTCACTTAATGAAAAATTGTTATGTTTGTAAAAAGCCCAGATCGTGCTGCTAGCTATTGTATTTTCAGGCGCGTTTAATCCGAAACCAATTTGGTTTCCTTCCATTTTGCAAGGATACCGCTTACGATTATATTTACAGATGAGAGTTTAATAATGTTACGCAGACATGTTAATTTAATCCATTATGGAGGTTACGGCTAGAGAACAAGATTCCCCGCCTTGCGTACCGTAGCGTTAAGTTGTAGTCAATCCGTTTATACAACAACAGAATCAGCCCATTGCTATACCGGGAATTCGGAGATTTAACCACTACCCCACCGCCCCAGGCTAGTATTGAATTGGACAAGACAAACCAATTGTTGTTACTGAGCAAACCCTCTCGCCGTCGGGATACGATGTCAGTAACAACCGAGTCACTGGGCCGGGCCACCCGATACACATCAGTGGCCCACGACAATCATTGGTTTGTTTCTTTGTTTCTTTGTCTGTTTGTTTGTTGTTTAACGCCACACGCAGCACAATTCCAGCTATATGACGGGGGTCTGTCAATAATCGAGTCTGGACAGACAGTTCAGTGATTGATATCATGAGCATCAATCTACGCAATTGGGATACGATGACATGCATCAACCACTCTTACGACACGCATAGTCGCCTTTTACAGCAAGCATGGGTAGCTGAAGACCTATACTAACCCGGATCTTCACGGGTCGCATTGGTTGGTGGGGATCGATACTAACACAGCCTCCAACGGGGTTGTTAAATTGTGAAATTAATTTTTCGTATCAACAAAACTCCTCTTATCTTAAACAGTAACTGTGGTTCAATTCTCCCGTTTTTCAATATGTGTGACATATATATATTTATATTCTTCATATATTCACCAACATATATGATATTCGCGTTTCTTTTGGTGGTGAGTATATGAATATTGGTTTTTCCTTTTGCTGGAATATTGCTAAAGGCGGTGTAAAATCATACTCACTCACTCATTCACTCACCCGGAACATTGGTTTGTAATATGACTGGACTGACGAACAGAGCGTTTTTTCTATTGATTTTCTCGCTGTAGATCATTCACTGTCAAGTTGTTGTTATTTACGACTTTCCGATTTATCAACGTCCACTTAGATTCTGGTTGACGTGATAATGTGAATCGTTCTTTGGGGCTGAAATTGAAACACACATTGTGCATCTTATAGAAGGATGTTGATGATAAATATGCAATTATAGCCACTGACGTCAATTGTGAACATATTAAAACAACACTATGTGAACTGTCGTTGATAAGAGAACCTTGATTTGGATAAAACGTATTGTATACCACTCAAAATAAATACAAGAATTTCTGGACACAACGTTTTCAGAAGTTGGAATCGAATATCCAATTTCATGGCGGCGAACACTGGGTATGGGTTTAACAAACTGTTTCACTTTGGGAATCAAACCCTTTAACGTGTACTTTCCGTTATTACTAGAGTTTCCCGCAATATATGGGATTCAAGTATTTATTTTTGTTGTTGTAATATTTAATGTAAACATATTTGTTTCAATCACTTCCGATTATAAACGGAAACACCCGAAGGGCAATCGGACTGTTTCGAGAATAAACAGCCCCTTTGTTTAATGCTCTCAATTATCAAGGTCGTTTGACTTTGAAAGATGTCTATAAACAGGATCGTTTCGAAAGAAAGTTTCCGGAAAACATGAGTTTTACAGAATTCAGAATAGTATGATTCAGTCAGTTTTTGTATAAACGCCATGACTACAACTGAACGCTACGGAATACAACACGGAATGTGGTTCTTTAGCCGGAACCTCCATATTGGATTGAATGCAAAGGAAAATTAACATGTCTGCGTAACATTATTAAACTCTCATCTGTAAATACAATGGTAAACGATATCCTTGCAAATGGAACGAAAACAAATTGACCTCGGATCAAACGCGCCTGAAAATACAATAGCTAGCAGCACGAACTGGTTTTTTACAGACATAGCTGAAATTGATTGAAAACGTTGCGAAAAACAATACGTAGCTCTGTTGTAAAATCGATGAAAAAATTGGATTTTTAGACGCCGAAGTCCGTTTGAAAAACAGATCTTCGAGCGGTTTGATTGATAACACAATCCTGAAGCAGTCAGCCAATCCATTGAGTGATAGTATTCTAATCAAAATTACAAAAAGTCTCATTTTTGAACATTTTGCTTCGAAATACCCCACTGGGCAATTACATGCCAAAACTGCATGTACATTGGAGACGACATCTGTGATGAGAAGACGGAATTGAGACTATCACCCTTTCGGTCCACAGACAGGTAGTGTCTACGCTGTGAGAGGCGGAAATGAAACAGGTAGTGTCTACGCTGTGGGAGGCGGAACGCTCAATTACGTTTTCTTCGCACAGTATTTGGATAATACTGACTTCTGTAACCAACATGATAAAACTGTAATTATCTTCATTATAATTTCCTGTTTGTTTGTACATTAATACATTAATGGCACATGATGTCCGCTTATAATAGCAGTTAAGCTTGAAGTCCAACAGTCAGTTCAACTTCGATTCGATGAAATGATTACAGCGAAACCCCGTTAATCAGGAACCCCAATATTCCGGACAATTCCTGTAAAAATGTACTTATATATATATGACTAACGTTACTCAGTTACATAAATTAGCTTACCCACTAATTCGTTTATCCGGTTTATATTTGGACTATAAATCTGCCATCCGGATAAACGAGGTTTCGTTGTTACATCAAAAAAGGGCAAACCGTTTACACAGAGCACTGATAATACTACACATGTTCGATGCCAAAAGAATCGTCCTTCCTTGACAAATTCAGCTTTATCAGTCTGTTCTGATGACGAAGAGTTAGAGTGCCAAAAGTATCAGAAACGTCGGGGGTATGCTAAAGGTTAAAGATGTTACCCGTCACGCTGAAAGACCAGGTTCGATTCCCCACATGGGTACACTGTGTGAAGACAGCTTCTGGCGCCGAAAATCATTCGCATTCACTCACTCAAGTTGAACTGCATGGAACAAGGCAGATTTGCACAAGTCTCTAAGGGAATAATTCTTAGTTTTAATCATAATTAGATCATGTAAATTATAAGAACAAGTTGTCTCTATAAAAGACAGGAGTCCTGAAATTACTGTCCCAATATCTAGACTTGCTTATTATGAGGATAGAATTACTTCAGATCCATGAACCTTTCTTTCAGAACAGCCTTGGAGTAAGGCTAGGAATAATGGACCGGGGCCGTTGTACAAAGCGATCTTAGCGCTAAGGTGGTCGTAACTCCCATACCTTAACACTGACTTACGACAGTCGTAGCGCTAAGGTTGTTTTGTACAACGGCGCTGATTCTCATTCCACAAAGCGATCTTAGCGCTAAGGTGATCGTAACTCCCATACCTTAACACTGACTTACGACAGTCGTAGCGCTAAGGTTGTTTTGTACAACGGCGCTGGTTCTCATTCCACAAAGCGATCTTACCGCTAAGGTAATCGTAACTCCCATGCTTTTACATTGGCGTACGATAGTCGCAGAGCTCAAGTCGCTCAGGGGAACGGGGCCCAGTGGTCGATAGAGTGAACATACATCAACATCGTTTTGGGTATGACTACACACTGGCTCAACAAGGCGACAGCTAGGACGTCATACCCACTCCAGTATCAACGAAGCCCCCACGGAGAGCCCGGGTTAGAATAGGTCCCAGCTGCCTGGGCGTGTTTGTTTGTTTGTTGTTGTTTCACGCCGCACTCAGAAATATTTCAGCTATATTACAGCGATATGTAAATGATCAAGTTTGCGCCAGACAATCCAGTGATTGATAGCATGAGCATCGATATACGCAATTGTCATGCGATGACATGCATCAACCAAGTCAGCGAGCCTGACCACAACCGATCCCGCTGGTCGCCTCTTATGACAAGCATAGTCGGCTTCCACGGCAAGCATGGGTTGCTGAAGACCTGTTCTACACCCGATCTCACGAAACGCCTGAGTATGTCGTGCGAGGCGGTTTGTGGATCGGGTGGCCAGGCTCATTGATTTGGCTCTTACCCCGATGCATTCGTCACCACTCGCCCCTTTCCGCAACCTTCAAGAAGACCCGTCCCCATATCGATGAATGCTATGTGCGAAAATACGACAAACCAATCAGAATGCGCGTATGACTTCAAGTACTTCGGTCAAAGAATGCCTCAGGAATATTTTTTTAATATTTTTTACATGTCATGCATCTACAAATATACCCTAGATGTAGTTAAATGTGTTCCATCATACTGTATAAACACAGTAGGTCCCGATGTGTTTAAACAGTATCTGGAATATATCTGACACGGGGAAATAAACGTGAATCATTACACAACGAGTTGAAATTGTTTTAACCATGCCCGTTTGCGCCTTAGACGGAACCCAGTCGCATAAATGGCCATGAGAGGGGCACGAGTCGCTTTTCGGCTTGTCCCGGAATAACACGAGTTGGTTACGAATGGCCCCGATGGCGTGGTCCAGTCGCAATGTTAACGGGCCGTCATGAATAGGTATAGATGTAAGGTGATGTGACACGGGTTTTAACATAGGTGTTTGTGTGTCTGTGTGTATGTCTGTCTGTGTGTGTTTGTGTGTCTGTGTGTGTTTCTGCATGTGTTTGTGTGTTGTCTGTGCGTTTGTATGTGTGTGTGTGTCTGTTAGACTATGTGTGTATGTCTGCCTGTGTGTGTGTGTGTGTGTGTGTGTCTGTCTGTGTGTGTATGTCTGTCTGTG